AATCTCAAGAGACCATAGAACCCTTGGTCATAAGGCAACTTGAATTCTATTTCTTTTTCCTTTTTTCTTACAATCCAAAATCCTGCCTACAGCTTTATTTGACTTTTAGTGAATAACATTTTGGAGCAATTTAGTGTATGTCATGCTCTGGTGTACTGTCCAATGCTTTTCATTTAATTTGGAAATGAAAAAGAATTTTCTAAAAGGTATGGGCACAAAATTCACAAAATTTCAAACTCTGGGTTAATTTGATCTGCTAAGTTGAGAATGGAAGTGTAAGCTTCAAATTTTGTTAGAATACATTAAAGAGTCTGCTGCAGTGAAAGTAAAACTTGTTTTACTTTACAGTTCCTTTTATTCTGCTGCAACCTCATAATGGTAATAAGGATTTTTACTTGTGTCATATTTATATGGATATATATATCATCTTTTTATAGATATTTTTTGGGTATAATTTACCTGATTTAAATAATAATTAAATCATATCATAACATATCACATTTAAGGCATTTAAGTTGCTCACATATATATATACTACAAGGACTTGATTGCTAATACTATAACTGTATTACCTATACAGACTCACATTTAAGGGATGAAAAAAAACAAATCACAAGCTATACACATATTTATCCCTTTTTCTTCTTCTCCAGCCCGACGTGGAACTTTGAAATCCCCACCAACGTGGTGATATATGAGAGAGCGATGAGTCACATCCTCCCTCCTCATCCTGAGGTGGAAGTTCTACGGGCACAGTTAATATTAAAGCTACGGCAGCAGTATCAGGAGATGTGTCACTCTAGAGAAGGTAAGTTCTAGTGAAGATTACATCAGAAAATTTAGAAAAGTTTTATTCCTTAATTCTTTTTAAACCTTATGACATATGTGAATAAATGATGGAATATTTTTAAAATAATTGATAAATATTTTAAACTGTATCTAAGACCAGAAATCTAACAGTTGCTGGTCACTGGGTAACAGCCTTGATGTTAGTGATGATTGTTGTAGTTTTACATTAATCTTGGAACTTCAATATCTAAAAAAAATATCCTTTCATAGAATATTGAATAAAAATTAAAGACAAGAGTTTGTGATGACAGTAGTGAAAATCTTTTATGCAAGAACCCTTAATTGAAAAACTTGACCTATTTTCAGGCATCGACTCTCCTCTAGAATCATTCAACCGGTGGCTGTTGGAGAGAAAGGTCATTGACAAAGGCAACGACTGCATGTTTCCCAGCAGTTGTAGCCCTGAAATCTCCCAGTCCATGTACAGAGAAATAGTGAATGATATCCCCATTAAACTGGTCAAACCTAAATATTCAGCTGACGCAAGGAGGCAGTTGTCCAAGTACGCTGAGGCTGCAAAAAAGATGGTAGAAACTAGGTATGGTCAATAAAGAATTATTTTCTTTATAATTATTTATTTTTTTACAGTGATGTCAAATAAAAATGTAGTCAAGTCTTACTTATAAGTGGCAGTAAGTAAATGATACATTTAGATCTATAATTTTTTATTCCAAGGCCAAAAGGCAAAACTAATGGAAAAAAGAAAAGATATCTTACTTATATGTTTCCCTAAGAAATGGAACTTCTAAGGGCTTATCAACCTAAACTTCCCAGAAATGAGAAAGAAGAAGTCTAAATATTAAAAGTGAATCAAGAAATTGTGACAAAACCTATGAGAATATTTTTTGTGTTTCAGAAATGCCTCCCCAGAGAGTCGTAAGCTAGTCAAGTGGCATGCAGAAGATACATTCCAGTGGCTGCGGAAACAGCCCAATGCTACCTATGATGATTACTTAGTGAGTGTGCGCACACAAACACACACTGAGGAAACAACCCAATGCTACCTATGATGACTACTTAGTGATTGTGTGCGCGCGCACACACACACACACACACACACACACACACAGAGTGAGAAAAGAGAGAGAAGGGGGGAGTATATATTCTAATCAGTTATTTAAAGCTGGCTAACTTAAGTTTGTTTATTTTCAATATCATGAATATCCTTGATACTCACTGTGGAATAAATTATTTTTTCTCTCTCAGGAACGTCTGGCTCACCTAAAGCGCCAGTGCCAGCCATACCTGATAGAAGCTGCCAAAGGCTCCGTAGAGGGCATCTGTAGTAAAATCTACGCTCTCTCCTGTGAATACGCCAAAAAAGTTAATGAGAAAAGCTGGCAGATTTTACAGGAGCACGGAGTTAAAGGTTAATATTTATATTACAGTTTGTAAACGTCCAAGCGCCATACCAGATTTAAACAATTTTTAATGATTAACAGAATTAACTACTCGTGGATAGTTTTGTTGCAACCATCAAATATGTTTTTCTTGACTTAAGCAATCAGAAAATCGAGCCGTTTGGTGAATTAAATTACAATTTCTACGAGTTTAAATTAACATGCTCAATGTTTAGTGTATTTTGGTAAGAAAACAAAACAAAAATAACTGTGAATATCCAAAAGGAAAAAGACAATGCATCTTAAATGAGGGATTCCTTTTAAAGCAGTAATCTGTAAATTTTTTCTGCAGACCCAGATCTTTGATCTATTTCTTTTC